GAGTCTGTGGGCTCAGTCACGTATCCCGTCATCCCGGCTGGCAGGTTTTATAGGATTATTACTCAGAGGTTTGCTTCGCGCCTCCCGGTCCTAGGCTGGGCAGAGACTGAGGCAAGAACTCCAGGTGCTTCACTTGGGTGTGTGAACTTAGGGCAGCAGCCAGACGAAGGGGAAGTGAGACAAGGAAGGATCTGAGATGAAAGTTCCTGCCACTGCTGCTTCAGGACAGGCCCTGGCAGTGCATCTGCTCAGCAGCAGGGCAGGGACCGGGAGGGCTGTTCCCGTAGGAGCTGACCCCGGCCCCTCCCATCCTGTCACCCCAGGCAGATGCAGGGTGTGCGGTGTGAGAGGCGGTGGAGAGGTGGGTCTGAAGCTTGGGGAGGGTCAGCCATAGGTCAGACCCAGGACCAGTGGGGTGACCTGCACTCTGCTCTGTCTGTGGGCGTTTTCCACCCTTGCCCCGCTGAGCAGCCTGGGCCTGGCTCCCTGGGTGGAACCTGACCCCACTCTCAAGTTCTTCACCATGTCTGCAGGAGGACTGTGTGAGCTGCTCAGTAGGCACTGGGCCGCCCCCCAGGTGCTCGGAAAAGACCTTAGAGGTGGCCACCGTGGCCAGTAGAATTTAGGCGCCAAAACAGGTCAGTAGGAACTGGTCAAATTTGTGGTTGGATGAATCTGTGCCTTCCTGTAGATGGGGTATCATTGGGTGCCCCGTAACCTGGAGTCACTGCGACCCACTGCAAAACCTGGTGCAGAGCCCACGAGCCTGAGGGGAGCCCAGCGCCCCGCCCCTCCTCCCCCAGGAGAAGCTGTCCCGCGGTGCAGGGCGGCCCCCGGCCATGTCCAGGGACTAGTGTTAAACCCCAGGCGTTGAGGAGCCGTCGGGTGCCGTTACAGACGGCGCCGCCTCTCCGCGCGTCCGTGCAACACGCACCCGGGCGGAGCAGGCGCCACCTTGTCCCCGCGGAAAGGGCCCGGATTGCACATTCAACACCTATCGTCCCTTAACTGCGTGTCCCAGCGTCATGGCCTGTAAATGTGAATTTTCCTGCTGCTTTCAGACAAGCTGCCACCCGGCCCTCAGGAAGAGAGGCCTCTGCACTGAAAGTGGCCCGGGCCCCGTGGACGCCCCGCCATCTGCGCACTGGCCCGGGCTCCCGGGACACCCCGCTAGCTGCGCATCGGGCCGGGCGAGCGCAGCCGGCGGAGCTCTGTCAGTGCAGGGGGCTCGGCCCCGGCCGAGGTCTGGGAAGAGCAATTTGCGTGGCGTCGTGTCGTCCCCGAGGTTGAATCACCAGGCTGTGCATACGGTGGGCGTGTGTGCTCAGCCCCGTCCCCCGAGCGCCTCTCCACTCAGTGCCACACAGCGAGCCTCCGCTGAGTTAGCAGGAGAGCGCGGCGTGGTGAGAGGGCACCGCCGTGCGCTGGTGGAGGAGCCGGATGCCTGTCTTGAACGCAGCACGTGGAGGGGCCGGGCAGGAGCCCCAAACCTGGGTGTGACACGCTAAGGAGCACAGCTTTGTGCCACCCTGGATCAGTCCCAGAGGTGGGGCCCATCTGCACCTGAGCCACCCGCACTTCTAGAGACTTCGGCCCCCAGTAAGCTCAGAAGTGCTGTGAAGTCTCACGGTTTTAGGTTTCAGGAGACCTGGCCGCCTCCCTGCGGACCAGTGTGCGCTGGGCAGCTCCGGACAGGTTGCTGCTGGGAGGAGACGCGCCTGGGCCGGGCGCACCTGGGGCTGGGTCTCTGCAGCGCCGAGCGGCTCCCGTGCTGGTGCCGCACGTCTCCTGTGTGGCTCCCGTGAGGCTCTGCGTCACCTCCCCTGTCTTGTTCCAGGCATCAGCAACGCGGAGGCACGGCAGCCCGGGAAGGCACCCAACTTCAGTGTCAACTGGACTGTGGGCGACGCGGCCATCGAGGTCATCAACGCCACCACGGGGAAGGACGAGCTGGGCCGCGCGTCTCGCCTGTGTAAGCACGCGTTGTACTGTCGCTGGATGCGTGTGCACGGCAAGGTACTGAGCGCCCTCGCGGCCACGCGCCCCGCTCCCCGCCTGCCTGTCTTCACTGCCCCCCCGCCGTCCCCGCCGCCACCCAGATGGCTGCCCCAAACCCTCGTCCCCGAGGGCTCTCAGCCGAGAGCGTGGCCAGCTCTGCAGATCAGAGCAGGCTCCGTCCTTCCCGCCTGACTCTGGGACTCACCCCACCCTGGCTCCTCCTCCCGGGAACGTCGTGTCCCAGATGCCGGCCCGCAGCCCGGGTGCTGCTCGGGGTTCAGTTAAAGCTCCAGGAAGGTCTTTAAACCCTTCTGTCTTGTTCTGTTTGGAGCAGCAGCCCTTTTCCCCCATGCAAAGCTGTACATGGTGCGTCCGTATGTTACCCATCTCCGTTGGTTTGTAAGTCAGGTCGGGAGCTTTTACTGTACACAGAGGTCGCAGTGTCCCCGTGGCGGGCGCGTCCCCCGCTGGTGGCTGCCCTGTTTATTCTCAAGATCTTCCCAGAAACCGTCAGCCAGTGCCGCGGGGGGCCTCGAGTGCTCCCTATGATGAGGGGACCCCACACGAGGCGCTGTCTGTACAGCGCTGAGCGTGTTGCCCAGAAGAGCAGGCCGGCAGCATGGGGCCCCGGGCCCTCTGCGGCGCGCGGCTCCGCACCTGCCTGTTTAACGTGAAGCTGCCACTCGGGCGGTGGACACGGACCCTCCGAGGGCGTCCAGCTGGAGCTCTGCCTGCCGCGGCCCCCGGGGGGCGCCATCGCTGGGTGCCCCCCCGCCGAAGCCAGCCATTTGAAGCGCCACTTTTTGGATGTCTTGCTGAGCTGTTTTCTGCTGCTGGGCTTCGGCAGCGGCGCTTGTCTGTGTCTTTTCACAGGTACCCCCCAGCCTACTGCGCGCCAAGGTCACTAAGCCCAGCGTGTACCACGAGTCCAAGCTGGTCGCCGCGGAGTACCAGGCGGCCAAGGCCTGCCTGTTCAGGGCCTTCCTCAAGGCCGGGCTGGGCGCCTGGGTGGAGAAGCCCACGGAGCAGGACCAGTTCTCACTCACACCCTGACGGTGCAGCGCAGCCGGACCCTCACCTGGACAGGGGAGGGTGGGCGTGGGGGGGCTGGCGTCGGGGCCCCGCCGTCTTCTCTCCACGGTGGCATCTCCCCTTCTGATTTCTCCAGTGACTGCTTTCAATCTCAGTTTACGTTTAGAAATTGAGTTCTACTGAGTAGGGCTTCCTGAAGTTTAGGAAAATAGAAATTACTTTGTGTGAAATTCTTGAATAATTAACTTATTCAGAACTAGGACCATGGTTTATAAAACAAGGAGTAATTAGTCAGGTCACTCTTGCACCACATTATTTTCATTGCAAAACAGCATTTCAATGTGGAGGAGGCGAGGAAGCAGAGAGGGTAGGAACCTAAGGGAACCTTCCCACAGTGGCGCCAGGCCCCGCCCGCCGGCGCTGGCCGCGGCCCGCTCCCTCCTCCACCCCCGACTCCCACAGCGCAGCAGCTCCCGGGGGCCCTGCAGCCTTCAGCCTCCTCTAGAAGCTTCTGTGTCCCTCGTAGGGCCACATCGTGGGCAAAACAGGGCCAGTCGCCCTGGCCCTTCCTTCGGGCTTTTTAAACAGCGTTTAACTTTGCGGGACTAGAAGGGACCCCAGGGCGGCGGCACGGGGAGCAGCCCTCTGCATCTCCCTCTGAGTCATGGATGTGACCTTCGCCCCAGGGTCGTCACGAGGGGACGAGTGAAGTGAGTGGTCACGCATTCCTGGAAAAGCCACTGAAGCTGTGTTTTAGAGTATCCTTTCCAGCTTTGTGGAAGACGCAGGGGGCGTGTCAGACGGACTCAGGCTAAAAGCAGGCCAGGCTGTGCGCTGTGGTGAGGGCCCCACCAGGGCTGAGGTCCGTGTCACGGCAGGGACGGGTGCTGCTGGTGCCTGGGCACCCAGGGCGCTGCCCAGCACCCCACAGCACCCGGCTGGCCCCAGGGTGGGCGGGGTCAGAGGTGGGGCGGCGGTGCCCCCCCCGCCCGAGCTGGAAGACCCGCGCCCCTGCCTCGCTGCTTCCTCCCAGGACCTGGGCCTGGGCGTCCTGCCCTTTGCCGACTCAGCCCCAGTTCCCGGTTCTGGGGGTGGTGTCGTGGGTCGCCGCTGGCAGAGAGAGGCAGATCCCTCCACAGCGAAGTCCAGGCACCAAGCTGTGTGCCCGGGGGTCCCGCGCCCTCCAAGGGCAGGAGGGAAATGACCGCTGTCGTTGTGCCCAGACCCTGTGCACTCAGAGCGGGGCTGAGCCCAAGCGCTGTGCCTCTGGTGTCCCCCGTGTCCTCCGCAGACTTGAGGTGGTGCACCCGTGGGCGGGAGCAGGGCAGGGTTCCCGCTGCCGGGGCGTCCAGGTCACAGGATGAGGGCCGCTCACGCCGCCTGCCCCTCCTGCCCCTCACCCGGCAGGGGCTCGGGCCCTCAGCACCCGGGGGGCCCGGTTTGGTTCCACCATGAAGGGAAAGGGGTCTGGTGCCCCCCGACTGCCCCGCCCCTGTGGGCTCCCGTGCACTCAGAGAACACCTGTGGCCCCTGCATTTTTACTCTTGTCTCTGTAAATGATATTTTTTCTAATGGGGAGAGGGAGATGGACTCACTTTTTAAAAAATAAGGGGATTTTGGTCACAAAGTCCAGTGGAATGATGCTGCACACACGTGTGAATGTGCGGGGCGCCCGGCTTTTCCCTCTGACCTGAGCACGGCCCCCTCCCCACCCCTGGGGGACGAATGCCTCGCGGTCCTCGCGGTCCCCCGCTGTGTGCGGCTGCCTTCCCCAGGTCAGACTTGTGCCTTGTCCAGGACAGACCTGGCGAGGGCTCATGCCCCGAGGGCACCAGGCCCGTGAGGATGCTGGGGGCCGGGCCGCGGGGGTCGGGCTCGGAGTGGGGGGTGCGGGCGGGCCCTGGGCTGGGCGGGAGGGAGCAGCGCCTCTGCCCACGAGTCAGGCAGGCAGGGCTGCCCGGCCCCGGCACCTCAGACGGGGCAGCTGGAGCAGCTCCCCTGCGGGCGGGGAAGGGAAGGAAATGTCACCCCTCCGTGAGGCAAATCAGGGGACCCCGCTTGACCCCACCCCCAGTGCTCGCTGTGCACCCCGTACAGGACTGCCTGGGTGTGACTTTGTACCCAGGGTCCTTACTCTGGGTTTTAGAGGGAGCTTAGAGAATCTGGCACAACCAAGAACTTGGTCTCTTGAGAACAATCGAGTTTTGAGGACATTTTGACCAGCAGGGGTTGGGAGGGCTTCCGCCCTGCCTTGTTGGCTAAACCTGGGGTGTGAATCCTGCGCAGACACTGGCCGTCCTGCAGTGCCCGGGCGCCCTGGGCAGCCGACTGTGGGCAGGACGGCCCACGTTGAAGAGAAGTCCCGTTTTGTGACCCAGGCCAGGGCCCACGTGGGGGCCGAGTGGGGGCCGCCATGCCCGCTTTCCTCAGCCTGCCCCCTGCCCGCCAGGGCCGGGCCCCCACCCCCCCAGGCAGGGACCCCCCCCACAGGCAGGGACACCAGAGCCCACGGCCTCGACTCAGTCCTCGCTGGACCTTTCACCTTTGCCTGTCTCGGAGGCTTTTGTTACATCAGAAGCAATTATGTCTTAAAGAGTACACGCCAGCTTCCCGCAAGGCATTAATTTCTGTGGAATTTATTTTATTTAAATAACCTTGTTGCTCTCCAGACGCTACAATCCCGGCCTTCCTGGTGGTCTGACGCAGGCCTGGCCCGTCCCCTCGGGGCAGGCAGAGCGGGAGGAGCCAGGCAGCGCTGGGAGGGGGGCTGCCCGCCTGCCCTTTTCCTCCAAAAACAAACAAAAACAAAAAGAAGCATCTGGGTTTTTTCATTTCTAAAACAGTTTACACCAAAATACAAGGTCTCCCCCAACCACAAGCTTGATTGAGCGCGAGGAGTAAAGTTAGCTCTAAACTCTGTGAAACTGGTGAATCTCTCAGAGGGTTTCTTTTTATCAAAAGGATACAGACGGGAAGGGCAGAGTGCTGCGATCACGTGTGTCCCTGTCCCCGGCGTGTCCCGTGGCGGCCCCCGGGCTCTGCGCCCCCGCGGCCTGGTGGGGGGGTCTGACTCGGTCCTGACTGAGCTCCTGTTCCCGGCCGCGTCTGCACCGCCCGGTCCGCTGTTTGCAGGAACGAGCCCTCAGCCCCAGGGGTTCTCTCAGGGTGGGCTGGTGACTCGTCAGGGACCAGAGCCATCCTTCCGGACACAGCCACCAACGGCCAGAGGCGGCCTGTGTGGGGGCTCTCCGTGGAGTCGGCCCCGAAAGCTGTTTGCTTCTCCAGACTTTGAGTCACATGCTTTTAATTTTGTTTCTGAATCCGGACACTGTATGAATGTAATTCAGCCAAGAGCCCTTCCCCGAGGCGCCTCCCCATGTCCTCTGTGTGCGTGCTGACGTGACCACCTGCATGAGCGTCCTCCGCGCCGCGAGCGGCCAGAGCGAGCATGAGACGCTGTCACGGAGACCGGACCGGAGATGTTCTCAATAAAACCATGTCTCACTGCTGCAGCCTGCCGAGGTTCTCTCTCCTCCCTGCTCCTCCCCGCCTTGGTGCAGAGCGTAACCCAGGAAGGTGCACGGAGGCGCCAGCCTCGTGTCCTGTCATCGGTGTGTGGCTCCGAGCACCTCCCTTGGGGACGGGCCCCCTACACCCCCCGCCACTCCCACGTGAGAGGTGGGGGCCGCCCCTGCTCCTGTCCTGTCTGCACGGAGGGGTGCTGGCAGCAGCCCCCAGGGCCAGAGGGGCAAGAAACCGGGCAGCAGAGCTGGAACCAGACGGTCTGGGTGCCGGGTGGGCGGGGAGGCAGCCCAGCCGCCGGGTTACGAGGGAGAGCAGTTGTTTGGGACCAGCACTGGAGGAGGATGTCCTCGGTGACGCTGGCTGCAAGCATGTCCAGGTCCGTGGTAGTGAAGACACGCGGGCGCTCCGGTCAGCAGGTGCACGAGCACGCGGAGCAGTCTGGACGGGACCCCTCTGGTCGCCATGGGTGAAGGATGGGATTTCGGGTCATGTTATTTCCCCTTTTAAAAATAATGTCTTTCCCGAATATTTCTATAATTAAATGAAAATAGGAAAATCTTTTGAAAAGTCAAAAACTCACGCAAATAAAAAGCAGCAGTGCTACAGACAACGCACGTGCTCTCTGCGTCAGTTTTGATTCCGTTTTCATTTCTTTTCCCACAAAAAAAAGCGAGATTTAAGTGACAATATGTTGCATCACAAGACGGATTCGGCTGCAGAGCAGGACTGGGAGCGGCGCCTCCCTCGCAGCTTCGTCCTCGGTGCCTCCCGCGCGCGCGCTCCCCCGGGGAAAAGCGGGAGGGCTCTCGAGGCACGGTCCGGAGGGGAGGACAGGGCCGGACGGGGCAGCTGCCTGAGAAACCGTTAAATCAACAAGCGTTAGCACCAGTTCCGATGAGCTGATCAGCGTCGTGATTAGCGATGTCTTTACGAAGGCGGCACGAGCAGCCTGAGTGAGCCAGGCGCTTGGGGCGCGGCCGGCGCCGGGGCCCCGGGTTCCAGGACTGAGGAGCCAGCAGGTGGGCCCGGCCGTCCTGCAGAGTCGCCTCTTGTAAGCCCACAATTATGCCGAAAACAAGATCCTGACTCCTGGGGTCCGTCATTGGCCGCGTCCTCCCGGTGCCTGGAAAGCGGCGCGGGACGTGCCGATCACACTGGAGACGCACCTGTTCCCTTGTGAGTGGCACAAAGTCGGGGACGTGTTCCTGTGGTTTCTGAAGACTGTCACCCATGTGACAGGAGCCCGAGCCCGAGCCAGACTGTGACAGGAGACCCATTGCTTCCCCGGTTCTGGTCAGACCCTCAGGCCTGACGCAGTGCTGGCTCCGGAGGCGGCGGCGGGCAGGAGCCCCCGGAAGAAGCCCTGGGCCTGCAAGACTGACGCGCTTTGTAGCACGTCGGTGAAGCGGGCGCCGCAGCCCTCGGACCCATCACACTGACCATAAACACGTGCACGCGTGTGCGCGGGGCAGGGCACGCGGTTGAACACTCACTTGGCACCAAGTCCTCCGGAGCAGACCAGGGCCGTGCAAAGGCCCTGTGCCGTGAGCACCCCTTCCCCACCGTAGGCACAGGGGCGACCAAGGACTCGGGTGGCAGACCTGCTCCCCCACCCCCAGCTCGTCCGCCTGCCTCGCCATCCACACCAGCCACCTGGTGGCCGGACCTCATAAGGAGAAGATGACCTTGTGAGGAGAAAGGACATGTGAGGCGTGCAGCTGTTTGAAAATCAGAACAGTAGTGCAGATGAGAGACTCCATCGGAGCGCATGCTAACATTTAAGAACAGACAGTCCACGAGTTTAAAAATGAACTTAGTAAACATCCTGAAAGAGGTGAGACAGGAGAACCAAGCAGAATTTGAAGGCGTGAACACCACAGACGAGCTAAGCGATAGAATGAATGAGCAGTTGGAGGACCAGCGGGCGGAGGCGGGGCAGTGGACAAAGGGAAAGAAAATGAAAGAAAGGCTGAAACACTCGGGTGCTGACACCTGGCTAGTGGGGTGTCCATGTAGCCTGTCCCCCACCCAGGGCACTTCAGACGTGCGCGCCAGAGCCACTGCAGATGGCGCTGTAAGTCTGGGACCTCCTTAAGAAACAAAAAACGAAGCTCCGTAAATGGAGGAACGGCCTGGACGAAACAGCAGTGGCCAAAGGTGGCACATCGCTGGAACTGGTACAGAGGGATTTATCGTACTGCCCTCTCTACAATGACCTGTTCAAACTTCTTCATAAGGAATTTTCAGTGCTTAAGCATTGACTTAAAAATACCATGCACGGTGCTCTTAGTGATCATGGGTTTTTTTTTTTACACAAAACAGGTAATGCACACACTAAAAAATTTAATGACGTGAATTTTCCAAGTTTAAAAAAATAAGAGAAATAGAAAGTTTTGAAGTCGCAATCATTGACTTCGAGTCGTTTTACACGCATTTTCATGGAAATGAGAACTTGGTGCGTCAGCTGCATTCTCTGGCACCACTGCCCCTGCTTGGTGTTCGTCCCCGACACTCAGCACTCTGACGTGACTGGTGTTCACCTGTCCTCCCACGGAACGTAAACGTCGTAGGTCAGAGACACCCGCTTCTCACGGCTTTTCCCCACCCCGGGCGCAGCCCTGCCACGCTGCAGGCAGCGAACGAGTACACGCCGATTTAGTAAGAACAAGTTACTATTCAAAACGGGCACATGGTGCCTCAAAGAGACCTACTGTGGAAGGAGTTTTGATGAGATGCTTTTCAAGAACCCTCGCAAGAGGTTTGTGACGTAAAAGTTACCAGTACGTCAGCAAGTCTGTGGAAGTTTTAAAGAGCTGAACAAAAAGGGAAAGAACGCACAGCGCTGATAATCCGGAGCTTCAGGCCTGGGTGATGTCCACGTGGCAGAGGCTGGAGTGAAGAGAAGGCTACAGGATGCGAGAATATGTTCAGGTTTTTGTCCTACTGGGGTGGAAATAGAAGCACACATTATTTTTATGATGAACAGGTGTCAAAGATTTTACTTAACCCTAGTTAATGAGGGAACCAGTAAGATGCTAAACTGATCCATGAGAATTTGACTTCTTCTACCAGGTTAAGTGCATTTGGCCTTTTCTCTGCTTGTCTCGGACAGAACACAGCAGAGCCAAAGTGGAACTCAGCAGCGGGTGGTGGTGTCTGACCCCGTGCGTGTGAGCGTCTCGGGGACGTTGAGCACCCCCGCTACGCCCTCCGCCGGCATTTGACGAGGTTACACAGTTTCACGGGTCTCCTTGCTTCTCTATTCATTTCTGATTTTACATCGGTGCATGTTGTTAATGCTGCAGACACACGTTGCAGAGTGCCAGCCATCAGAATGGTTAGTTTTCGGCAATACAGAGCTTTCTTTTTCACTGAACACACCGGAAGCTTTGATTATGAGGCTTACCCGATCTAATGAGGAAGGGCTTTTTAAATTTTCTTTAAAATTCTCATTTACTCTTTAGCTTCTGGGAATAAAGTCCAGTACACACATATACACAAATCTTTTTTATCATTCTCCTCACTCAGTATATAACCTGCGCATTTACCTACATATTTCATTAAATTGTTGCAAATTAAGTTAGAAAAGCAGCATGTAGACTCATTTTCTTGTAATGGAATATTATAAAGTGTGTCAATTAATTATGTTAAGTGTATATGTTTTAAATCATGACTTCATTGCCTTCAATCATTTATAAGTTGTATCCTATAATTTTATTTCTCAGAATTTTCTTTTTTAAAATCCCTGGGAAAAACATGTTAACACTTTTATTTCAATTGGAAAAAGTGAGTCAGACCTTGTCTGACAGAAAACAAATCTAATTTGGTTCACTGGTTTGACAAGGAGGGTTAGGTTACATGGAGGACGCTGACCATCAATAGAGCAAAATAAATCTGCAGCTCCGAGGTTTGATGAAAATAGATTTAAAATAATGGTACGATAAAAGTGTTTTATTGAAAAATGTCAAATGGGTGAAAAAAATCAATGAAATGAACATTTCAATGTTCCCAACCCTCTCAGAATTTATCAGGCCAAACAAGTTACTGCCAGATGAGGGAGAATCATGGATACATGACAGTCCCTTGATAAGCTGAGATGAGGCCTCTCCAGTAAATGTCCCAGAAATTGAGAGTGAGAGGATGACAAGTCCTTTTACAGGTAAGTCGTTTCTAGTTCTTTGCTTTCGAAACATTTAAATGAAGCATAACTGAGCTGATAGTTGATGAGGCACTTCAGAAGGGTTTGCAGTCTTTATCACAGATCACCTTGCAGTGCAGAGGCTGCTGCACAGGGACTCCATGAGCCGCTGAGGGCGCTGCTGAAACGCGCCGCCTCGTCTGTGCTGCAAAGTGTCCTGGACTTGTGTCTCGAAAGAAAAGACTAGAAATACAGCCAAGACGGAAGCAGGCTGCTCCCCATCCTTGCACGTGGGAACCACCTAGTCAGAAGAACAGCTCTCCTCATCTCGCTGAGAGATGCATTTTCACTAAAATTTTGCTTTTGTGTGCAATAGATGCATATTTATGTTGTTTGAATAATTGTGAACTGAGTACTTGAAAAAAATAACTTAATCCAGGAAATATTATTAACAATTAAAGCCTGTTGGCCACAAGAGGAATGAAAAGGAAGGATGGGTGAAGGAGAATAAAAGATGCTGGAAGGCAGGAAGTAGAATGTGGGGGGTGGGTGGTGGAAGGTTGGCAGTGGATTGTGGAGAGTTGGTGAAGGACGGTTGAAGTGAGTGGTGGAAGATGGATGGTAGAAAGTGAAAGGAAATGGTAGAAGGTGGGAAGTGGACAATGGATGATGACGGCCACTGGTAAATGGTTAAGAATGGTGGAAGGTAGGTGGTGGATGCAATGTAACAGGTACATGGTGGATGGTGTGTGGTGGAAAGTGAATGGAAGATGGTTGATGGGGGATGGTGTAAGATAAATGGTGTTTGATGGATGGTGGATGGTGGATATTTGATGAAGAATGGTGGCAGGTGGATTCTGATGGTTGAAGGTGGAAAGTGCTAGATGGTGGAAGCTATGTGATGGATGGTGAAATGTGGGTTTTGGAAGGTGGAATGTGAACAATGCAAGGTTGAAAGTTGCAGGTGAGATGTGGAGGGCGGAGGGTTGAAAGTGGATGCTCAAGGTGAATGCTAGCAGGTGGACAGGAGATAATGGGTGGCATATAGGGAACGTTGAATGGTGAGTGGTGTATAGTGGGTAATGGTTGGTAAAACGTGAGTGGTGGAAGGCGGATGGTGGGTGGTGGATGGAAGGTGAAAAATAAATGATGGAGGGAGGAAGGTGAATGGTGGATGGTAGGCAATAGAAGGTGGGTGGTGGCAAGTGGAAGGTTGAAGGTGGTTGGTGGATTGTGGATGGGGGATTGTGGATGATGGACAGAGGAAGATGGTAGGTGGGTAGTAAAAATGGATGGGCTTAGTGATGGTGTAATAAGGGTGATATGGATGGTGGAGTGTAGGTGGTGGAAAATGAAAAATGGGGAATGGAATGAAAAAGGTGGGTGTTAAATGGTGGAAGGTGGACAATAAAAGTGGAAAGAGGATGGTGGAAGGTGAAAAATAATAGGTAGTGATGGAAGGTTAAATGATAAATCATAGCTGGTAGACGCTGAGTTGTGGATGGTGGAATGTGTGTGGTGGATGTTGGTCAGTGGAAAGTTGAAGGAAAAAGTTAGATGGATTGTGACTGTAGATGGTGAAGATGGATGGTGGATGAAGAATGGTGGAAGAAGGATGGTGGATAGGAGAATGTAAATGTTGGAAAATGGTACATAGCACTGAAGTCTGGATAGTGAATGGTAGATGTTGGATGGTTGAAGAAAGATGGTGGAAGTTGGATGGTAAAAGGAGAATGCAGTTGGTGAATGGTGTAAGGTGGATGATATGGTGGAAGGTAGATAATGGATGGTAGATGGTAGAAAGTTGATAGCGAAAGTTGGATGGTGGATGGTGGAGGATGGAGAAGGACTGGTGGATGGTAGATAGAATATGGGTAATGAAAAGTGGATGGTGGAATATGGAAGGTGGATGGTGGATGTGGGTATGTTGAGGGTAGAAAGCGAAAAGCGGGTGGAGGAATGTGGATGGTAGATGGTAGATTGTGGAAGGTGGAATCAGATGGTGGATGATGGATATTGGATGGTGAATGATGATTGATGGTTGATAAACAATGGTGAAAAGTAAATGTGGATGGTGGTTGCTGGAGTGTGGAGAGTGGATGGTAGATAGTGGAAATTAGGTGGATGGTCAAATGTAGGTGTTGGAAGATGGATGGTGGATGTGAATGGTGAAATGTGGAAATAGTATGGTAGAAGGTGAAAACTTGAGGGTAGATGGTGGTTCATGGATTGTGCATGGTGGAATGTGAGTGGAAGATGAAATGCAGGTGGTAAAAGATGGAAGGTGGGAAGTGGAGGTTGAAGTTAGAAGGTGTACGTTAGATGGTGGGTCATGAAAGGCAGAAGGTAAAAGTAGATGGCGTGGCTGCCTCTCTCGCTCCCTCATCTTCAGAGATGGTCCACACTCTGTCTATGGAATGTGTATCTACTTTTAATTTAACCTAAGCACTCAAACCACACACCTCATGGGGACAAGTCGAACATATGGGGTCAAGGACAGGGACAGGTCAGGAGGGGACCTCCGGGGCTGGGCTGAGCGAGTGGACCTAGGCCACCTGCTGACAACAGGATTCAGACGCAGGTGGGGCGTCTGAGGACAATCACCGGTCCCGGGTCCATGCTGCTCCTCAGAAACTGGTCATGTACTCAGAGCAAGATTATCCCTTGCAGAGGGAGCTTCTGGGAAGAGACCTGGCGCAGCTGGCCTCACAAGTCCCCCATTGGCTCCACCAGGCCCTTGACGCCTCCAGGCTGTGCCCAGACTGGACCCCGGACAGACATGTCCCTGCCCCTTTGACCTCCCCCACTCCCACCCTGGGATCATCTGAGGATCCTTGTAATTCCACCTGTTCCCAGCTTGGGCATCACTACCGGGACCAGTGAGGGTCAGACCAGCCGAGAACCTGGGAGTCAGGATCTACTTTGTAGCAAGTTCTCCAGGGAACTCCTATGCCCCTTAGTGGATGAAGAGCACTGGTGGTCACTCCTACCCCTCCCTCAGTGCTCGGCTCAGGGCCACCTCCTCCAGGGAGCCCTCCCTGACATTCCCGCCCACCCTGGTCTGCTGCAGGGACAGATGGAGAGCCGGGCAGGGCCCAGCAAGGAGTGTCCAGGCCACGCTTGTGGGCACCTCCGACCCCGAGTCAGTCCCTTCCACGATGTGCACTTACTGGAGGAAACTGAGTTCATCTTATGTCCCCACAGGGAGCCTCCCAGCAGCTTTGCTCAAGGGGCAAGTGCGTCACACTTGGGAATCCTCACCCTGCACCCCAGGCCCCACCCCCTGCCCAGGGAGTCCCTGCTGGGGAGCAGCTGGGAGGTGAGACCGCAAGATTCAGGTCGGGCAACCACGCGGAGTCCGGATAGACACGTCCGACTCCACACTCGGCCCCTCAGAGAAGCTGCTTTCCCGGGGGTCACCCTCCTGCTCCCGGAGACTCCCCAGGGCTCTCCTGCGGAGATGTCACCGCGTTAATTCAGTGCCCAAGGGCAGCAGGGTCACTAGAAGGTTCTGAGTCTCCTCAGTCCTCTTCCCGATCCCACAGCCGCCCAACACAGCCCCGCCGTCCCCCTCCTCCATCTCTGTGACGACCCCCTGTGCCAGCACCCAGGGCTCCACGCAGACCCCTGAGCGGCTCCCCCTCCCCGGCTCAGAGGACCCCAGTCCCCTCCTCCCGCCAGGCCCTCGGTGGGGGCGGGGACAGTGTGCCTGTTGCAGACCCTGGAGCCCCAGCCTCGGTCCCCCACCTCCTGCCCCCGCCCGGGACACAGCCCTCACCCCACGTTCTCCATCTGCACCCCCTGCAGGAGGCTGTCTAGGTGGCATCTGGGCTGAGCCTCAGGGACCTCTCCCTTTTTGAATGTCGGATTGTATCTTTATGAAATTATATGCCCACAATTGTTTCTCTTTGATCACCTATGTTTTATAACATTTTTAGGAATTTGCAACTCTTACATTTCTGAGGTCTATGAAACAAACTAAAATTGTCTAGTATCTGCCTTGGTGTGTGTGTGTGTGTATATATATGTGTGTGTG